CTTGGGCACGCATGCATACACACCCGACGTGAGTTTAAGCCACCAGGTCTGGGACTTGAATCATGGTTGACTACATGGGAGTCCAGCGACATAGTCATTATGCCAACTGCTGGTCCCAGGAAAGGAATTCTTAAAATTTTATTTGTGACTTTGGTTTATACATGGTTTTACCATTTCTGGAATTCCATGGAACTGTAAATACTTACTTTAAAACAAACCAGGAAAAGGTACAATAGAATTTCTTTCTGAGTCACTGCAACTGTGCATGTTTTTAAAATTGTCTATTCATATCTAAAAGAGAGGGAGATAGATGGGCAGATAGAAAGTGCGGACACACAAGCAGACCTTGTGCATGCTGTAAGCAAATGGAGAAGAGTACGTGAGCTCTAGAGTATCCCCCCTAGATAAACTGTAACCCTCCCTAACCAAAACATCACCCTTTAAGAACGTAATCCCAAATTCAGTTTTAAAACTGAACATGTTATTGAAAAACTTATTTACAGGGTTGTCAGGAAAGTCATGATGTATTTTTTGCATAGAAAAAATCATGACTTTCGCGACAACCTAGTATTTTCATGTTAAGGACTCTACACTGAGCGTTTTCAATGGTATTTAATTTTTTTCTAGCTCACGTTCATGACCACTAATCTGTTGGTGATTAGATTTTGGCTCGAATACTCTTCTTTAGGTTGTCATATACTATATCTAATAAAGAAAAGTCGCTGGGAAATTTTAACCTTTTCAAATGTCATCTTGGATTATACCATCTCAGTGGCTGAGTGTTGTGTATTTAGTGAATTGTTCTGCACTAGCTAGAAAGACAGATGGTAGTGTGCAGTGGGCAAGGATGTGCAGACAGGAGGACAGATGGGCGACTTAAATGGTTTAAATGTCTCCCTGAAAATGAGTGAAGTGCATATCTCCTGAAGTTAGACTAAAAAATGAAGGAATTTATTAGGAATAATAGAGTTTATATAAAAAAGTAATAGTTTTAAAAACATGACATAAAATACAGAATTTATTCATTAGTTATACCTTTTGCACTGATGATAAAAATTAACGCACCAGAACACAATACTCAAATACTCCTGCCTGTTAGCTCCTTTTTACATTTTCTTGTTACGAACATGTAGAGCGTAGAAAACATCTTTATTACTTGGAATTAATTTATCTGGATAATTGTCCATTGCCTTTATAACTGCCTGTTGTCAGAATTAATTTGTTTAATTTCAAGTAATAGTAACTCAGAACTAGTTTTAAAAATGGCGAATCAAAGCAAAAACCAAACCAGACCTTTGAAACAGACCACAGCAAGGGCAGGCCTGGAGCAGCTCTGGCAGCTTCTGCAGCGGGGCGGGCGCAGCGGGGTTGGCGCAGCGAGGTCCTGAGCTGCCACTCCCATTTAGCACGGAGGGCGCGCGAGGGGGGGTGGCCGCGGCGAGTCCCGGCCCTGCCACTCCCATTTAGCACGGATGTGGTTAGCTGCGGGCAGAGGGTCGGTCTCGGTATGGTCAGTACAGTCCGCACCTTGGATTCTCGGCGTCAGCTTCATGCAGGAGTACCCTATTGGCTTGTGTGGGTGCGGACAGAAGGCCGGTCCATTTCAGAGGAAGGCTGTGGCTGTCCATGTCTGTGGAATGGGTCTAGGTATGCCACTTACATTGACTCCTGGGATTTTTTTTTTTTTTGAGAGGTTTTTGCTATAGGTCGCATGCGCTCAACAGAAAGAGAGACAGACAGAAAGCGAGAAATCACCCCCCAGGGGGGATGGCCACGCCGCAATCCCTTCTCCTCCATTCTCCTCTTGGGATCTTGGGCACGCATGCATACGGCATGAGTTTAAGCCACTGGGTCAGGGATTCGAATCAGGGTTGACCTCATGGGAGTCTATCAACATAGCCATTGCGCCAACTGCTGGTCCTGACTCTTGGGAATTTTTAATGAAATGAATTTCTGCAGGAAGGATGCTAAGTAGCATTATTCAGGATGGAATGTTATATTATTTCATGAAAAATTATTATAGGAACTTAACGTGTGGGAGGATATGTTCCTGAGAGTGTTAAAAGTTGCTCACGATTAGACTCATTGAAGTGACTTGTTAATTGCTGTGGTAATAGAAGGATACCAAGTACCACAGATATCGAGTTAGATCTTCTCTAGGGATTTATATTAACTAAGGTAGAAAGTTTAATTTGATTCTAATGAGCATCTCTAAAAATTCAAAATTACAATAGTATAAAACTTTAAAAAAAATCGTGGGACCAGCAGTTGACGTAATGGCTATGTCGTTGGACTCCTACGTAGTTGACCGCAGTTCGAGTTCTGGACTCAGTGGCTTAAACTCACACCAGGCGTGTGTGCGTGCTGTTGAAAAAGTGAAATTGATCGCCTGGGGCAACATTCTGTGAATAACTTGGACAGTGATTAATACTCCACCTGCGCTGGCCCACCAGGTGGTGTGATGGTTGAGGCACTGGATTCCCACGCAGCTAACTGCGGTTCGGGCCTGTACCTGGAGACTTCAAAATCATGCCCTGCGCATGTGCATGTGTCCTCAAAATCCCTAGAGGAGAA